GTCTCGCCACCCTATGGTGACGAGATCTCGCGCTGTACAGTAAAGTAACTTCCTTAGTTAGTATAATTTAGTATTGATTAGATTTTCCTGTAAAGGCAATGAGATGTACTATGTCTATACTTAACTCAGGTAGCAACTTTTACCGTGCTCTGGGGTTCCACCTCCACCAAACCCAGAGTATATCTATGCTTCCGCTGTGTTGTCTGTCTGTTCCCAGGTCTGATTGGTACACCGACCCAGTTGTTCCAGCCACACGTGAACCCTTGTCTGTAAAGACCGAGGGGGGAGGCACGTTACACAAAGCCCTCCCCCCACTAGACCCAGTAACCCATACATCAGTTACTTTGGGGATGAGTGACTGTCCAAGAGTCACCCGGCCGACGCCTCACGTCACTAACGAGGTTGTCAGGGCCAGCGAGCTGTCCACATTATAGCAGTCACCGGAGGTGCCATACAACGCCGGGGTAGCTGTCTCGAGATCACCACTACCCACCTGCTGCGTCATCAAGACTGCAGCCATTCCAGCAGTGTTGGAGGAGAGGTCAAGAAATGGAAAGCACGTAGCAGTACTCAAGAATTTCGCCGGAAGATTAATGATTACGTCATCTGAAGTAACAAGAAAGCAGAAGTAAGGCGGTCACAGGTGGAAGGCACGGTTTCCCTACAGAGTACCGGGACTCGCCAATAGAAGGTCGCAAAATTGTCTCCTTTGGCCTAAAGTCGGCGGTACGAGGGTATACACAGTTGGTGTTTACGGCTTAGTAACCTGGTGATATCAAGAAACGCCTGAGATGACGTGAGCAATGATGGAAGACGAGATTCACCTGTTCTGCAAACAAGCAACCCGCCTCTACGACCTTCTGACACCACTCCTGCTAAGAGACACTGTTGGTACATCCAGTTCTGCTCTGCTGTGGTCATCTGCGACAAGTTTAACATCAAGACTACCGTGTGAACTGTGATTGATATGAAGGCGTGTGGACTGTCGAGAGCAAGATTAATGGCCGAAGTAACAGTATTCTACAGCTGTCACTTGGCACTCAGCTCTACTACACTCTGTCGTCATTCAGTAGTACCGGATGGGAGTACAAGAGGACCAGGTATTGATGTCTACACATGGGGAGAAGCAAGATCGACACCGTCATCGTCAGCGACTACATTCAGCATCCAGCAGCATCGATTTTTTTTCGATTACTCAATATGAACAATTGATACAAACAACAAAGTGGCTCTGAACATCTGTGTAAAGAACATCTGGACACTTTTGTTTAAATGTTGAAAAACAGATTTAAAATAATAATTGGTATAATATGAATTTTACTCTATAAATTGGTCAGTAATCAAAATCGAAGCCCCTGTGTAATTGTCTCAGCCCAGAACAAACGGTTATGGAAAATTATGTTGTGCTATTTTTTTCAGAATGTTTGAACACAGGAGAGGCGGACCAATATAAACATTGACACTTCTAGTGAGTGAGAACACTTGGCTGTACAGTCAGCTGAAACCGGTGATATAGTATAGGAATTTTTTTTTATATTTTTAGATACATGTAATAAACGTTAGGTGTGTTCCTTAACATGTCAAGGTTGACATTGATTGGGGAGTGGTTAGTACACGGATGAGTACCTGATAGTTCCGTAGTACGCTCCCGGATGACTGAAAGTTCAGTCTGAACTTATAACTTTAATGTTTGTTTGAGCACGGTGTGGCCGGCTCTAGAGGACACATGGACTTGGCTAGTGAAGAGCCAAGAGAGTTTAATAGCTAGTTTTTGATGGTAGAGTAGGGACATGTTATTTAGCTATGTCAGTAAGGATAGGATGTATGTTTCCTGATATTGGAGGATTGCTGTCAGTTGACAGCTGAGAAATTTATGAAATATGAACATGTTTATTATGATGTTGGACTATTATTTGTCAAATTTTATTAGTTAGGTTAGCTTTTGTTTGTGGCATGAGTTGAATTGTGGGTTTGGATACTAAACCTCGTGAATTTTAACAAATTAACAAGGTTTACTAAGTGCTTGTGCGGGGGGGTTGTAACAAACTAGGCTGTTGTAAGAATTATCCAGAGGGGTTTATCGACAAAAGAGAATGGGAAGCTGAGCCGCATGGTGACCTGACCCCCAGGGGAATTCGCGGTGGAAATAACCGACGCTTTGTTCATATCTGCGTATAATGAATCATCCTATAGTATTCAGGAATTTAGAGAAAATTAGCCTTTATTCATTTTGCATTAAAATTGTATTGTATAATAGTACTGGGTACAATATCAAGAGTATTCTAATTATTGAGTTTAAGTCACCATCAGTGACGTCACGAATCAGATCTAACTTTTGAGGCGGAGTGACCGGCGGTCATAGGTCAGCAGGGTTGACATGTCTAATATTTCTCAAAGTTTTAATAACCATTTTTGTGATCGGGAACAGCTCTGCCGTTAGATGTTTGTAATTTAATTCAGTAAAATAATTCAACCAGTCTGGATCAATTAAGTACAACAGAGTTTAATTGTTATAACTTAAACCTGGCTAGGAACTGGGTAGAACTTTGACTAGGCGGAAGGATACAAGGTTCTAGTCTGGGCTAGGCCAGACGAGGACAAAGCAGTGTGGTCACGGAAGCAGCTAGGAGAGGTCAAACATCTTACCTCTCCCCAAGAACAGGCCCAACACCTAGAACTGTGGTCGCCCAAGGTATAGTTGCTATTGTTAAGTATAGAAATAGTCTCATTTGCCACTCAGGTCAAGTAGGGAGTGTTAAATTGATAGGGAGTGAACATATTTAGATTTTGTTTTAGTTTTCGTTTAATAAATTAAATTTGTTATTAATTTGCATTTTATTGTTTCCATGTGTTTTATGTGTATACTTGTCCTGGTCACGTGGTCCACACGAGGCAGAGTTGCATTGGGCGCCGATTCTAACATCGAATCGGAATTATCATTACCGTGTAATTTATTCCACACTCAAGGTCATCGTTTATAGTGGGGATCAAGCCCCTAGGTTGATTAATTAGCGTGATCGATCCAGACCTCGATCATTGCTCTTGTATTACTGGTCTGGTGGTGGCAGCAGAGGTGACTCTAGGGTTTTGTTCAGAGCTTAGGTCACGTCATACTGGGTGTAGAATCCTAAGTCGGTCAATCGTCTTAGGACCACGTGGCGTGGAGTTGGCTTTGGTAAAAGTTTTGGAGTCCCTTGGTTTAGAAATAAAAGTAAGAATACGGGTAGAGGGAGTAGAAAGAAGGAAGTAAAGAGAGAGGACCCGAACCCGTGTTACAAAGGGATCCATAGGGGAAAAGACAGGTATTCATGAAAGAAGAGCGAGCTTCCCCTCAAGAACAGAGGGACGTGTAAGGAGGCTACAGCTCTGAAAATAAGCTGTAGCCTAGAATATCTCGGTTCATGCAGGTCGGTGTTCAAACCCCGACCGTCCAAGTGGTTGGGCACCATTCCTTCCCCCCGTCCCATCCCAAATCTTTATCCTGACCCCTTTCAAGTGCTATATAGCCGTAATGGCTTGGTGCTTTCTCCTAAAAATTCCCTCCTCCTTCGAATCATGGAAGAGCCTCATCCCTGGAAGACAATACCGCTCTGGAAAACAGATTCCAGGTGGAAGGGAAAAGCTTTCCTGGAAGAGTCCTCTCGGTAGGGTGGAGGTCCCTATGGAAGGTAGAGGGTTTTCCTTCAAGACAGAGAACTCCTGAAAGGGATAGGTCAACTTGAATGGAGAGTTCCTATTTAAGGGAGGTCTCCATAAGGGGAGTGGCCTCCCTTGCAGCGAGGCTACTCCTCTAAAATGATACCATTATACTAGAGTTTTCACTATTAGCTGCTTTAAACCTTACGAAAGCCTTGAAATAAATGTTACTTTGATGTGATAAAAAGATCACACCTGTTTAGCATTACACGACAATTTTAAATGGCTTTTACTTTTACTTTTTTAAGAATTTATGAATTAAACAAATAATATTGAGTTGAGATTACAAATAATATCCCATATGTGAATGGGAGGCTAGAACTATGTAGCAGGTTACCATTCGGAAAGTAGAGCTCTCTTGCCACATTACAGTATAGGAATCACAATTGCGTGATGCATCAAATGAACAAATGTCGTAGTAGTGACAATTGATATGGTCAGTCGTAGTAACCGACTGACCATGTCGTAGCTCAGTTGATTAAGGCAGTGTCTGGGATGCTCTCGGACGCAGGTTTGAATCCTCGTCACGGCCCTTGTGGATTTGTTCATTAGTTCTCTTGCCCTTGGAAGAGGTAGTTGCCTTGGTGACGCCTCTAGTGAGATGTAGCAGATTCATATCAAATCTTCAGTGATTATAAATAAATGTGCTACTGAATGGTGCTTGGGATCACTATAGTTTCAGATATAAAAAGTACAATGGGTGTTTCAACCTAACGCTAAAATGACATTAGCAGATACAATGTTGTATAAAACATGGTATGTGCGTCTACCACAAATCATCATCCCCCAGTCCACATCTTTAGGAAGTGATGTGGTGGAGGCTAACTCCATACACAGCTTCAAGGGTAGATATGATAGAGCCCAGTCGGCCCAGGAACCTGTACATTAGTTGATTGACGGTTGAGAGGCGGGACCAAATAGCCAGAGCTCAACCCCCGCAAGCACTATTAGGTAAGTACAGTGCCGACCTCACTACACACAAACTCATGACTCCAAGACGCCTCAGTTCCTCACTGGTTCATCTCCTGGCCTTCAAGATCCTCACACATGCTCCAGATCATCTCACACCTTCAACCACGTATTGGGAAACATTTGGATAGATACAGGCTTGCTAATTTATGGAACAAGTTTCCGGGAAATACAGTAGACGTGGGAGCACTTGATTGTTTCAAGCGTAGGTTAGACATAAGACTTGTATGAGTTTAGGTGGGTATAAGTAAGAGCTGCCTGGGATGGGCCTCTACTCCTGTAGTTGTTGTTGTAGTTGTTGTACACATTGATATGTTGTTGTTGTTGTCCCGCAGGTGGTGAGGGCGTGGCGGCGAGGGTGTGGGAGAATATGGTGTCCGGTACCTCCACCGCTGCCAGCTACGACGGTCACGAACCAGAGGTAACTATACTCTCTCTCCCCCAGGCCTCACCTCTCATCTTCACCTCATCTTCTGTCACCTTCCGTCACGGTCACCTAATACATTACTTCTTTACATATTTTCGTGTCATTTGACTCTTACACTAACATGTATTAAATGCTTGTTATGTATTTTGGTACACGGTGAAAGCTTTTGAAGCCATTTTTAATATTGTCGTACCATCAGGTTCCCCCAAGCCTACATGTTGTTTGTCATGTGGTAAGAGAATGATGAAGGTTTTTTGCCAGTGTTGAGCAAGTGTAAACGCCTCCGGGGGAGTAGTGTTGGAGAGGGACCAATGGCCTGTAACTTAGAGAAGAACGTGAAACTGGTAATGAAAGGGTAGTTTGTCCCGCGGGAGGGAGATGGCCTTCCGGTATGTGCAGGAGAGGGCCTCCTGGTGTGTGCAGGAGAGGGCCTCCCGGTGTGTGCAGGAGAGGGCCTCCCGGTATGTGCAGGAGAGGGCCTCCCGGTGTGTGCAGGAGAGGGCCTCCCGGTATGTGCAGGAGAGGGCCTCCTGGTGTGTGCAGGAGAGGGCCTCCCGGTGTGTGCAGGAGAGGGCCTCCCGGTATGTGCAGGAGAGGGCCTCCCGGTATGTGCAGGAGAGGGCCTCCTGGTGTGTGCAGGAGATGGCCTTCCGGTATGTGCAGGAGAGGGCCTCCTGGTGTGTGCAGGAGATGGCCTTCCGGTATGTGCAGGAGAGGGCCTCCTGGTGTGTGCAGGAGATGGCCTTCCGGTATGTGCAGGAGAGGGCCTCCCGGTATGTGCAGGAGAGGGCCTCCCGGTGTGTGCAGGAGAGGGCCTCCCGGTATGTGCAGGAGAGGGCCTCCCGGTGTGTGCAGGAGAGGGCCTCCCGGTATGTGCAGGAGAGGGCCTCCCGGTGTGTGCAGGAGAGGGCCTCCCGGTATGTGCAGGAGAGGGCCTCCCGGTGTGTGCAGGAGAGGGCCTCCCGGTGTGTGCAGGAGAGGGCCTCCTGGTGTGTGCAGGAGAGGGCCTCCCGGTATGTGCAGGAGAGGGCCTTCCGGTATGTGCAGGAGAGGGCCTCCCGGTATGTGCAGGAGAGGGCCTCCCGGTGTGTGCAGGAGAGGGCCTTCCGGTATGTGCAGGAGAGGGCCTCCCGGTGTGTGCAGGAGAGGGCCTCCTGGTGTGTGCAGGAGAGGGCCTCCTGGTGTGTGCAGGAGAGGGCCTCCCGGTATGTGCAGGAGAGGGCCTCCCGGTATGTGCAGGAGAGGGCCTCCCGGTATGTGCAGGAGAGGGCCTCCCGGTGTGTGCAGGAGAGGGCCTCCCGGTATGTGCAGGAGAGGGCCTCCCGGTATGTGCAGGAGAGGGCCTCCCGGTATGTGCAGGAGAGGGCCTCCCGGTATGTGCAGGAGAGGGCCTCCCGGTATGTGCAGGAGAGGGCCTCCTGGTGTGTGCAGGAGAGGGCCTCCCGGTATGTGCAGGAGAGGGCCTCCCGGTGTGTGCAGGAGAGGGCCTCCCGGTATGTGCAGGAGAGGGCCTCCCGGTATGTGCAGGAGAGGGCCTCCCGGTATGTGCAGGAGAGGGCCTCCCGGTATGTGCAGGAGAGGGCCTCCCGGTGTGTGCAGGAGAGGGCCTCCCGGTGTGTGCAGGAGAGGGCCTCCCGGTATGTGCAGGAGAGGGCCTCCCGGTGTGTGCAGGAGAGGGCCTCCCGGTGTGTGCAGGAGAGGGCCTCCTGGTGTGTGCAGGAGAGGGCCTCCCGGTATGTGCAGGAGAGGGCCTTCCGGTATGTGCAGGAGAGGGCCTTCCGGTATGTGCAGGAGAGGGCCTCCCGGTATGTGCAGGAGAGGGCCTTCCGGTATGTGCAGGAGAGGGCCTCCCGGTATGTGCAGGAGAGGGCCTTCCGGTATGTGCAGGAGAGGGCCTCCTGGTGTGTGCAGGAGAGGGCCTCCCGGTGTGTGCAGGAGAGGGCCTCCCGGTATGTGCAGGAGAGGGCCTCCCGGTGTGTGCAGGAGAGGGTAAGGAATACCAGGATGAACCACTCTCAGAAGAGGCACATGTTAGGTTATTAAAATACAGTCCCGTGTTGAACCCCAGCCAAGTTACGTAGACTTGCCAGCAGGCGAACACAACATGGATTCATAAAGGCTTAGAAGTTAAAGCTCTGCTTAGAAATCACCCCGGCCAAGCGTCCATATCTATCTATCTCCAGTCACCCAGCCGTGTCAGGAGGCAAGCACCAGCATGAAATGTCAGTGTTACAAGGACAGGTGACTAGGTGTTGCGTTAGAGGCGGGGGCCGGTCACTGTGCTTGGAGGGAGAGTGGGTGAGAGTGAGAGCAAGGATGCTCCAGAGGTACAGTTGAATGAAAAAGCTGTAATAAATGTTATATTGAGTTCTAAGAGGCGAGCTGTCCGCCTTGCTGACACCGACGTA